AAACTTACATTGTTTTAATTAAGTTTAAAGATTCCCAGTCAGTCGACGGGTATTTGAGCTGGTATAGATAATGTATATATGAACATAGATCAGTAAATTGTTAAGACTTGTTTAGATAATAAATAAATATATATGTAGGGAATGGAAAATGACATTTTTAGTACCCATCGCTAACTATATAAGTAAATGTTTAAGTTTCCAAACAATCCACTATCTGGTGAAATTGGAATCAAAGTTATGAATGTAATAAGTTTAAAACATGCATGCAAACCCGGTCATTATTTGGTAGTTAAAAAATTATCTTTTCATATGCTATTCGCCTGAGGTATATATTGTTTATATTTAATCCTGAATTGTTTCCAGCATAAAATTTAAAATCTACTACTTATATACATAAAATTGTTTTGTGTAATTTGTTTTTTTGAGCTCGTATCTGATCAGACGTAATTCTGTGATGAGGATGGAAGCTTCTATGGTATTGTGTTTATGTATGTATGTGTATGTTTAAATATAAGTACAAAGTGTTCCCCATGTAAGCCCTAATAATTTCTAGTTGTAGACGATTGGGCCTTTATGTATTTCTTTGTTTTGAATTTCACGCATAGCTACACGAGGGATATCTGCGCTAGCCGTCCCTAATTTAGCAGTGTAAGACTAGAGGGAAGGCAGCTAGTCATCACCACCCACCGCCAATTCTTGAGCTACTCTTTTACCAACGAATAGTGGGATTGACTGTCACATTATAACGCCCCACGGCTGAAAGGGCGAGCATGTTTGGTGGGACGGGGATTCGAACTCGCGACCCGCAGATTGCGACTCGAGCCCCCTAACCACCTGGCCGTACCTTTATGTAAGTGTGTGTGTATATATATAAGTACAAAGTATTCCCCATGTAAGCCCTAATAATCTCTAGTTGTAGACAATTATTTATCTGTATCAAGTCTTGGGATTTAAAGGTTATTTATAACTGTGTGAAAATTTACTCTATGTTCCCTCTGGTGGATACTGGTAAGCTTGTAAGATTTCTCGAGTTTTCGGCTGTTTTTGTATTACACATTACGGTTGCTATCAAAAAGCATATATATAACCGCTTATATAAAGAAGTCCCCCAGTGGTTCAGCGATAAGTCTGAAGGCTTATAAAGCTGAAAACCGTGATCCGAAACCCATGGTGGGCACAACACAGACAGCCCATTGCGTAGCTTTGTACTTATCCAAAAAATAAACAATATAAAAAAAGGAGAAAAAACTTCACAAAAATGAACTTAGACCAACTTTACATTTGTTCTTATAGGTTGATTTATTTCCGCCAATAGGGAGGAAGCTTTTAGTTCAAACATTTTCTTAAATTTTATGTTTTAAACTATTCGAGGATTTCAAACTTGATAATGTGATTGACTGTCACCTTTACCCAAATAACGTAATTCAAAAGTACCAAATTTTTCAGTGCTTGAAAGCAAGTTTAAGAGCGATTTTATTATTTAGACTAGAATTATAGTTATAACTGACTAGTATTTGAGAAACAAGAACATTGACATTAAAAAACTATAGTTAATATAAGTATTGAAGACTGGCAAGGAGCCTAAGATCGTAATTCACGAACATTTCATAGTCTTGAGTAACTTAAGCATTGACGTAAGATTGTTTGTTTGAATTTATGCACAAAGCTCCACTGTGCTATCTGTGCTCTGCCCATCACAGGTATCAAAATCCGGTTTCTAGCCTTGTAAGTCCGCAGACATTCCGCTGTGCCACTGAGGGGGAGGGAGGGTTGACGTAAGCAACTCGTTATATATTTGAGAAAATTACAGCTAACTTTTCTAAATTTTATTTTCAGGCTTATTATTTAAAAATTACGGTGGCTCAGCAGTAAGTCTGGAGGCTTATAATGGTAAAAATCGGGTTTTGATACCAAATGTGGGCAGGGCAAAAATAGTCCAAAATGCGCTAAACAACAAAAATCATATCACTGTATGGGGGGGGGGGGTACTATTCAATTTAAAAATTTAGTGACGTAATTAATTATAGTTACATAAGTTGATTCTTGTGACATAAGTCAACCCTATTTTACAAAAATACTGATTCCGAAAATGATTTTTATGAAATAGTAAACTTTTTAAGGTACATATCATGATTTCTAAATTCCAATCCTGGAAGAAAATCCTCCAAGTTGAATTTTGACGTCATATGTATGGTGACCTAAAAAAAATCTACGGAATATTTAATAAAAGGTACTAAGTTTGATTAAACTACTAATCTTATGGCATATCAATACAAGTATATCCAACATTTTTAAGGTTTAGAATTATCTAAGCACATTGTAAGGATTCATAAATTCAATATGAAAGCCTGTCTGTAGAATTATTGAATTATAGAAACCTTTCAAAGTTTTAATGTTTTAAAAAAAATCTTTCAAACCCGCTGAATTTCATGTGATAAAACGTATCTCTACATCTCTTGTTACAAAAAAATCGTGATTAAACCTAAACTTGGTTGACAATAGTACGTTATCGCACTGCAAAATTAATTACTGTAAATAGCAAGGAAACTACAAAAAGTATACTATTTTTTTGTGATGTTAAAATAGAATCAAACACGAAGCATCAGATACTTCAATAAGCCCACAATTCCTTCGACAGCGGTAGGTTCTACTTGTTAACCATTTCTGTTCAGATTATCTTTATGGAAATATTTAACTGTTTATTTTATTATCAGGCAAAAGCTACAGAGTGGGTTCTCCGCACTGTGCCAATCGCAGGGAAGGCTCTCGAGCTTATCCCTTTATGCCTTCGAGGGCATCACATTTAAAACTATATAAGGGCAGAAGATACTAATAACGATCCGTGTGGATAGCAAAGTTAGATATAGAAAACTATACAACTACTTTCTATTAAATTTCAACTTCAAATAGCATTATGCAAACATTATAAATGTTCGTCTTTCTTTCTTTTTTTTTGTATGGTAAACGTGGAACTACTTTTATGACTATTTTACAGTAGAGTAATATTTTATTATTGTAAATTCTGGTTCTATTTGTTTTCCCAGTAAGGAAGCCAGTAATGTAGGGATTTTAATTTCAATGTAAAGTGGAGACAGCTTAATCTGCTATGTGGTCATTACCCGATCAATTGATATGTTTACTTCCATCCCTATCATGCTTGGTTCATTTTTTCAAATTATCTAGCAATATTTTTTTCTTATACTTGTTTGTTTACTTTTTCATAAGATGGCGTAAGTGGGTTACTAGATTATAGAATGTATTCTAAAGCTTTATAAATTTTGCATAGAATAATAATAAAATAGGTAGTCATTGATTATGAAAACTGTTTTGCTCTATCAAATAATGAGAAAAGTATAGTTACTTCTAGAACTAGGTAAGTGCTAGGCCTGTTTAAGAAATATGATGATGAACGAAAATAAGAAATCTCGGTTTTGGCTATTAGCCGGTTTTCGACTTCAGACGCTCTGGGTAGCTAAAAAGCGACATATATACCGGGGATAGAGCGACCATTCGAGGTAGCTCTTCATATGTAACTTCTGATGACCTGTAAAGAAGAAAATCCAGATACCTTTTCTATTGCTATAATACGGGCGTTTGTGCCATCCCTACATCGAGTGCTAGCGCACTCTCCGATGCATATATATTTCGTTTTAATTTCAGCATGTGCGTGAACATCTATAAATGCGCTACTTGTGCTTTAAACAAAACTTTTTTTTCGAAAATTATAAGTAACTTTTGGATTCATCGTGAATAATATCGATTTTGTTAAATGGTTTTGTTATAAAATGATGTCGGTGCGCGTGCGCGTGCACTTCCATTTACATTATATAATATGCCGAGTCAGGCTGCTCTTTAAGTCATTGATTGGTGTAATCAATATACACGGTAGCTCCAAAATTTGGAAGTACTGAATTTAGTTCAATAATAATAATTTATACATGAAGGAACCAACACAAGTTCAAGTAAAAAAACACTGACTATATATACGCACCACATGTGGCTCTGTTGTAAGCCTGGGACCTTATAACACTAAAATTCAGAGTTAGCTTCCTGTGGTGGGCACAACGTAGGTAATCCATTTTTGGGCTTTGTGCTTTACAACAAAACAGACTGAAATTACTACTCGTACAGAGGAAACACTTTGCCAACACTAAGAGTTCCGATTCGGAACGTTAGGGGGATAGATGAAACTTGTTAGTTATTGTAAAGTTTTCTTTATTTCTTGGAAATAAATGAAGAAACAAGATTTTAAATGTACAAGTCCATTACCACATTGTTTAGATGATAAGTTAGTGTCAAACGTTAGTGTTATTTTCTTTACGTCATTATAACATGAATTCTCTGTAATTCTACATTAAGACCTCTTAATATTTTTAAAGTTATTTCCAAGTTATGATCCACATTTTCAACACGTTCAACAGATTTTACTGAAAACTAAATATTCAAGTATCAGATTCAACATGTGAAAGGAAGATTAACTTCTTCTAATTAAATAGAACCGTGATTAGCTCTCATAATTTACATTTAGAAGGTTAGAACCAGCGAAAGTGAACAAAAAACTTGTTACGGTAGTCGTTATGCAAGACATATTCGTGATTTGATTAGACAACATTTATAAAAACCAAATTAATAACTTTGAATTAAGAAACATTTGCTTCAAGAAGTTGAAAATTAAAGAGGGGAATTTAGTGTTCCAAGAGAACCTAGAATCGAGAACCAGTTTTGAATGATAAGAATGACGGGATGCTGAGTAAACACTACATTGTGACGGTAAGTTGTACCAAACCAAGCACAACATTGGCTTCCCGGTAGGATGACTTTTTTCGTAAAACATTAGTCAAGGTAGCCAGCCACTTGGAAGGCTTCTAACTGGTTAACCTTCCCATGCTCTGGAGAAAGAAGCCAGGGAATAATATGCATGGTCACGTGCTGAATGATAAATTCTCTTGTGTATTAATCAAATCAACTCCACTCCTAGCTATACGGGTCCACAGGAAAAGGGCATTCATACTGTTTTCCGATAGACTGAGAAGTCAGATGTACTTCAGGAGGTGGTCCTAACCTCGTCATTCGATCTCCCGCGGATCCGTCATGGTCAGGGACACTATCCGGAAGTAGAATGGACACATAGAAAGCTTTTTGTAAGATATATTTCTATATTCAATAGATGCTACTTTCGTTATTTATAGAACAGATGTGAAAACATTAATTGTCTTGTGTTTTTTGTTTGTTTTTATCAGTAATGTGCAAAATTTATACGCGAACACAACTGAATTACGACAGAAACAGTTTTAAGTCTTATTTAAGTGTAAAGGATATTTCTTTAAGACGGACTGCGATAATCAGCCATTGCAATTCTTGTGGTTTAAATGTAAATAAGGCGTCTCTATGGTTTACTAATTCAAGCACATCCACCTTGTGGACAATAGGCCACTTAGAAGTTAATTATCCCGTAAATGTTACTAGAATCTACGTTTGAAGTTATAAGAAATATTTTTTTAAGTATGATAATAACGAAATTAAATGATTTGGAGTTTTTGTTTGTTATTATCCAAAGCTATACAATGGACTATCTGTTTTCTGTCCACTGCTGGTATCGAAACCCAATTTTTAACATTATATGACCTCAGGCTTAACGCTGAGCCACTGGGGGGAGAGCACATGACTTGTAAAGATGTTGTAATAAAAAAAAGTTAACAACCTTAATTGTTCATAAAGAATGATTCTATTATTTCAGGTAAATTTTAATCAACATACGTTAATAACACGCACTATGTAATAACATTTATTAAGTATATATTAGTTACTCACTGCTGTATTAAAATATTTTTAACAATAAAAATGCATAGAGAAACCCTTCATTGCACTAGTTAATTCATAAAATGTTTTTATTTTGCAATTGCTTTGCAAGTATTATGGGTATCAACCCGAAAAATACATAACATCGATAAACTACAGTAATGCGATTACTCTTGGTACTTTTAATTAATTTTAATCTTTACAATATAAACAAAACGCATATTTTAATCTAGTGGGTTTTAAGTTTACCAATATTTGTTCGTACGTATGTATCTAATATCATTAAGAATCATGAGGTCAGTCATTTAATGATGTGCACGTTCTCATATTTGTAAAACAGCTACCAAACAGGAAATGTCTTACATGCACACTTTTACCAACGCCTCAGGTTCAATTTTGGAGAATAATTTAAGACTTGAAAGCGATGTAATGAGCAGAATCGTTAAAACCATGGCTGGAGTTAATGTTGACTAGGTGACTTGTAAACATATTGGTATTCACGTTTCACACAAATTAGAAAATCAAACCTTGCTTTCCATTAGGTGAGACTTCCCATATAAGAAGACGTGTTTTTTATTGCATATTTTTTTTTCTTTGAAGAATAAAGTGGTTTATAATGCGTAGAATATTTAATTGTATTTTGTATTCAGGTTTTTGGGTAGCGAATTATGGGAAGAACAAAATAAATGATGCCTTTTCTTTATTTTTCGTATAATATAGTATGTACAATATTTGAAATCTTCCACGTTAGGATTCTTTCTTCCCTAATCGAAAACATTTTTTTTTTCAACACGCGATAATTTATAATTTTCACACGATTTCTTTTCTCGTAACATAGCACTTGACGTTGTTGTTGTTGTTGTCTAATGCCTGTGATTTAAATGAGTACCAGGTAATTTTTCATATTTTAAGATATAATAGTTCTATCGAAGATTGTGATTACTTTTAGGTGTCCTACTTATTTTTCATGAGAACCTGTTGCCATATAAAGAATGTTTGTATAAGGTTAATATCAATAAATTCTTTGTATATTCCACATCCCAGAATTCAAAATTTCCTCTGGTTTTTATATGTATATCTGATGAACGACATAGTTCGTTGTGTATCAGTACCTTTTACGACGTATAAAACATGTGTATAACCTAAGATATCTTTAAATATAAATCTCTTGAGTAGCCTAGTATCAGCATCTCTCGAGTGCATAAATTTGGAAATCATTATGTTATTATTATCTATGTGCACGCTTATCGAAAGTGTGGTAATCATCTGAAATCTTATCGGTTTATTAATTATTGCTTTGTCAAAAACTTGTTCTCATTTTAAGAACAAATATTTACACCAAAATGTATCTAAATACATCACTTCCGATGGGGTCTTTTAAAATGTTAGTTGCTTATCATACAGCTTTATAGCGTAGAGTTGAGAAGTGAATAACACACTTTACGTTTTTGCTGCATTCCATTCGGTAATGAATTTCTTATAGAAACTGAGATATCAAATGACGAAGCAGATTTCTAGAAAAGTAGAAAAAAAAGTTTGTTATTTAACATTAAAAGCTTTGGTAAAACAATTATCCTAATCGTTTTAAATTTGAAAATATTTATTGTTAAATTAGTGAAGTAGTGATGATTTATTTTACGAAATATGTGTTCATATTTGTTCCTAAGTGTTATACATTGATTTTCGTGCCGATCCTGTCATCTATAAAGTTAACTGTACACTATAATTATTAATTTAATCTCTAATCTATTTCAATGTCTCTATTATACCCATAAGCGGAATGAAATACTCGACAATATTTATCGTTAGCCATTACTATTCATATTCTAAGTATGATTAAAACGCTAAATAAAAGTTAACTGACTTAACAACTAACGATAATAAATAATTTGGTGATTTTTGGAACTTGCTAAATTATAACGATAAATCATAATCTTTAAATTTCTATCTTCTGCAGTGTTTACAATCTCTAGTTTTTGATATAGTACGTAATTCCCTTAACACATTTAGGTCATGATGATTTTATGGTATGATAATTTTCTCTTCTGTTTTCAAACTAATTTCTCTCCAAGTTGTCTACTTCAGTTAATTATAATTCTGCGACGGCACATTGATAATTATTATACTATAGATTTGTATATATTGAAAATTGAACAATTTGTTTAATAACAACATTAATTTCTTTGATTTTTAGATTACTCAAAAGAATGTCCCTTTTCATACAAAGATTACTTTCAAGTTACATTTTATTATAAACATACAGTTTGTGAATATGTGCTTATGAATACAAATAGTATAACGCGAATCTCACTGAAATTCGAATAAATATTTATCTAAACTTTTCAAAGACACCGAAGTTTATATTTTGGTTGTTTAATGCAGTTTTAAAGTCAATCATAATATTCAGTGAACTTGTTTTTTTAATAATTAATTTTAAGAGATAGATACACGTTTAAAAGTCAGCAGTGAATGGCACATTTTATCCCGGATGTTAAACGGAGGTACAACCTACCCCCATGTCAGTAAGTTTATTCTAACTTTATTCTGCTCCATCAGGAATACTTTTTTGGAAGATGTAGAATGTTTGTTCGAGTAAACTTGTACTTTACGTATGTCTTTTAAGCCTATATCCAAAAATTTAGTTTCGTGATTAATTTTATAAAGATCCCTTACTCGTTCATGAATTCAGATATACTGGTTTACCGAATATTTAACGAGTATGATTACTCAGTTTATCTTTGTAATGACTTTTAAATAAATAGTACCATCGTCGTAGTATTTAAATAAATATTATCATCATTGTATTAAAAAAACTGCATAGGACAACATTACAAATTGCACAGTATAACAGATAGACGTTACTCCAGTGTCCATATACCTTTCATATCTTGTTTCATGCAAAATTCTACCAAACAGTTAGTAAAAATGGTGTTACCACTGTTCTTCTTTTAAAATAATTCCCAAAAAGAACTGTCTGCAACTCCTGGACCCGAATCTTTATTCAAAGTTAACATCGAGTTTTTAAATTTTACTAATGATTCCGTTATATTCAGTTGGTATTTATTATTATAATGTTTCATAAATTGAATATTGTTCCAATTAACAATGTGAGCTGAGAAATGAGGTTTGAATTTCGCGCAAAGCTACACGAGGACTATCTGCGCTAACCGTCCTTAATTTAGCAGTGTAAGACTAGAGGGAAGGCAGCTAGTCATCACCACCCACCGCCAACTTTTTGGTTACTCTTTTACCAATGAATAGTGGGATTTACCGTCACATTATAACGCCCCCACCACTGAAAAGGCGAACATGTTTGGTGGGACTTGGATTCGTACCCGTGACCCTGGGATTGCGAGTCAAGCGAGCCTTTGAGAGTTAGATAGAAGTTTCTTTTGAACTTTAGGATGGGTTTTTATGACCATACTTTATCGTTTTTTTTTCTTTTCTATTCAGGTTTTTTAAGTTTGTTTTACTTAATTTTACATTATTCTTAGACTTTAAGTTTTCGGTTCTTAACCAGTTCGTAGCGCAGTGAAACGATTCGTAACCTTACTATTAATTTAAATTTTGATACCTAATTTTGAAATAATTCATTTATATCTAAGAGTTATTTAGGGAAGAAGGCTTCATTAATTTCATACAACAATGATCTTTATTTTCCTGCAATCCTTGTAAGTTTCCGCTCTAGAACGTATAACGTGACCTACTTTACATCTGCAGTGAACTTGCTGTGTTATTGGATGCATAATGGGCGATCATAATTCGCTTTATAAAGCTATTTAAGAACAAATGGTATTTAAAACGCATTATTTTGAAGAACACCGTTAACATATAAAGCAAACTTTATTTCAATAAAATATCTTGAAAGCTGGTGCATGAGTAATGAATACACTTATCGGCAATCGGAATAATCTAGTTTGCTATGATTATGAAGTACATGCAGCAGAAATCTGCTTATTAGTTTCCCAAATTGCAATATATATATATAACATAAAGCTGTTTTCTTATATCTGAGCGCTTTACAAATGGTGTATAATCCGGAAGTACTTGTTTTCTTAAATCTGAGCGTCTTACAAATGATGAATAATCCTGAAGTAGTGTTTTCTTAAATCTGAGTGCTTTACAAATGGTGAATGATCCGGAAGTAGTTGTTTTCTTAAATCTGAGCGCCTTAGAAATGGTGAATAGTCCGGAAGTAGTTGTTTTCTTAAATCTGAGCACCTTCCAAATGGTGAATAATCCGGAAATCCTTGTTTTCTTAAATCTGAGCGCCTTGCAAATGGTGAATAATCCGAAAGTAGTTGTTTTCTTAAATCTGAGCGCCTTCCAAATGGTGAATAATCCGGAAGTACTTGTTTTCTTAAATCTGAGCTCCTTACAAATGGTGAATAATCCGGAAGTACTTGTTTTCTTAAATCTGAGCGCCTTACAAATGCTGTATAATCTGGAAGTACTTGTTTCTATTACCTTCTCGTCAGCGAAACATTTATGTTTTTTTTTCTACGAAGCCACCCCAATGACTTTGATTTTGTCAAACGTTACAACAGTTTTAACATTTAGTCACAATAACGTTCACTCAATTTATTCGTTTATAGGAAGAATATGCTTGGTCGACTATGTTGCATGAATCTCACATAGCATTAATGTTCATGTTTGGAATATTGACTTAGCAATTAACATATGTCGAATATCGCCAATATTATTATTACTGTTTTTTCATATGAACAAACCCCCCAGTGGCACAGTGGTATGTCTGCGGACTTACAACACTAGAATCCGGGTTACGATACTCGTGGAGGGCAGAGCACAGATAGCCCATTGTGTAGCTTTGTGCTTAACAACAAACAACATATGAACAAATATGAGATCATTTAGAATTTTATACACTGCTTTTGTGCTTCGAGATATTTATATCTTTTGATAAACATACTGTTGAGAATGTGATCTGTTAGTATGTTTCCACTAGTTTATTTTATATGAACTAAGCTGCTCTAATTCATAATTAATTTTGTACCGCTTTTTTGATGTAGAAATAGCTCATCATAGACTGTTGTGTCATTCTATTATGGTCCTCACTTAATACCAAATTCACCTACTTATTGCTGTGATAATAACCACGTGCCATAAGAGTATAGTGGGGTTCAAAAACGTCAACATAAAATCAAGGTATCAAATGTGGCATGATAACTTACCCCAAAAATATTCAATCGAATAAAAAAAATATTATCATTCTGCTGCCCAGGGAAGATGACTGAAGTCATTATGTTGCATTCTCATCCTGATGAATAAGTGGTTTTTCCGGATTATAATGCACGATTTATCACCCTCCTATTATGGGGTAAGCATTAATATCACCAACTTTCGGGTACACCCCGATGTTTCCCTTTTAAAAGATTCAAATAACTCGCTCTAAAATATGCTTTCTACACTCGTACTAAAGATATTTTATCTACCTTTTCTTTCCGTTGTTTAATCTTAACAATGAATTCCACTCTTAAAAGAACACTATCTCTAATTAATAAAAGTATCACTATGTTAACACAATAACGTGCTGTGCTTTCCTGCTTGATAAACGTTTTTGGACTAGCTGTCAGCTAGCATCATATAATGGGCTATATTGAATATTTTACACTGTACAATTTCAGATACCCGAATCCTTGTTGCAGGTGAAAGAATTGGTAGACTAGGACGTGGACGAATCCCTGCTGCACTTTACAAGATGTAAACTCGTCTCACGTGGTCAGTTACTAGCTGTTGGTGTTCCTTAGAGGAAAAAGATCAATTCAATTTCGATAACCACTGTTGATAGACTCCTTTGAACGGCCGGCCAAAGAAACTGTCTTTGCTAACGACGGTCCTGCCAGATGAGCACCCACTATCACGTCTCTTTGAAATTAGAAAATTTTTGCTTCTACCGACTATACAGTATTCATAATGTGATTTCTTTTCTGGACCTATAGGGATAAAGCAACTGCCTGATTCATCACATGATTAGTCTATGCTGAATGGGCGAATAAATTGAATATTCTACAAAAGAGTAAGAAAGTGGGGGTTCTCGTAAAATGGAAAGTCATTGCACACATTAATTGAAATTGATAACTATGTAACTTCGGGGGTAACGTGAAAAGAGTAAATAAAAAGAAATGCATGTAAATATGAATTCACACCTTGTGTCTGACCAATAAACGCTAACGCAATTTTTATATGATACAAATTCTGTTAAACAAATAATTGTTTGCAATATAATTCATTTTGAGCTCTTATTTGCATTAATACTCTTTTATTTTATTTCCGAAATATAAAATTTTGTTATTTAACTAAACTAACAAATTATAATGGATTAAAATAGAATTATTTGCGACAGACTGGTGTATTATATAGTTTGCAAGTCATATGTTTCATACTTTTATTTATAGTTAGTTTCTTTTATTGTTATCGCTAAAGATGTTTAAGATATTTGTGGAATAGTCTTTGAAAATATTTTGGATTGTTGGCTAAGTGTACAAATTTAAGACTGACTGACCTATTTCTTTTAATGTGACCGAACCATATAAGATATTTTGGAATTATAGTCGAGGGTTACCATATGATGAAACAATGTAATTTAGAACTTTTTGGTGCTAGTTTTCTGGTGTATTCATTTAAACCTTTCGGTATTTCTAGCCAGTGTTCTACACCAGATTGACTAATTAACGTACTTTTACATTATTTAAGTTCTGATTTGTATAATTCTTAGTTTTGATTAGAAGTACTTAATAATAATAATTTGACAATGTTAAAAAGCTAAAGATAACATTAGTTTGCGTTTCTTTTGTTTTACAGATTTTTTTTAAATATTAATCTCTTAAAAAGGAAGAGAAGAATGTTCGATTCTGAAACGTTTCTATACATTTTGTTGATTTTTCTTTTCAGCCCTAAAATTAAGAAAACGATACCATCATCACCGGTAAGAAAAGACAACATTCAGTTATCAATGTGTAACGGTACCATTTCGTACGATACTAGACCAGTCATAATGCCCCTTCGTGGAGGGGAAGACAGTGCCTTTAATGAATTATTAGAAGGACGAATGGATCTAGATATCATACTGCCGGATGACAGGAAAATACACATGAGCGTGGATAGAAGGTATTTTTGTTGGGTTACTAAAATAACCAAAAAAATCGAAATGACTGTTCACTGAAAGGCCTAGTTAATCTTCCCTTCTTAATGGAAATACGATACTACTCTATATTAGTGCGATTTATAAAGTTTTTGTAACATAAAGAAGAACCCCTTGTCATTAAATTTTAGGAATAAATCACATTTCGATACCCGTGGTGGACAGAACACAGATAGCCCATTGTGCAGCTTTGTGCTTAATTACAAACAAACAAACAAATCTTAATGGGAATCAGCAAGTTTATACATTCTTAATAATGTTCTTTTAAAAAAACCATTTATATATAACAGTCAGAGTGGTTCAACTGAAATCATACAAAGGTTGTAAAACTCAAAGGAGTTTTAATTCATGTTTCACTATAAAGTAAACAAAACATGAACCATGTTACGCAACAATAAGTACGACACCTTGGAATTTTTTTTTATTATAAAAATGTTTAAAATACACAACGTTTAGCATTTTTCATTTTGCATAGCAATAAATTCGAAACTTTTGAATTCTACTATTATATAAAATAAAGGTTTAATATGCAAAACGTTTCGCAGAGGCAAAACATAAACTGTTGTACTTCTTGTTAGCATCAAAGACATCCTGGGATTGCTAGTTTACCCATAAATATTGTTGGGCATTATCTTTTCAGTTTATTTCGTTTAAAACTCGATTAGATAAAGTTTTTAATATTGCATTTATATATATATATATATTTTAAACTGCTTTAGCTATTGACTTAGAAAACATGTTCCTTAATAGTATATTTTTTTCATAGCATACATTTGTACGAGACTTGTAATCGTGGATAAAATGTAACATTTGATTATATTTAAAAGTTCATAGCCACTCTCAGTGACTCAGCGCTAAGTCTTAGGGCCTCAAATGCTTAAAATAGGGTTTCGGCATCCTTGGTGGGCAAAACACAAATTGCTTTGTGCTTAACCGCAAACAAAATGTTACGAACTGTGACATCTATAGTAGTGACATCTATAGGTTAAAAAACAAAACAAGCTTTAATTTTTGTTTTAAAACGGCTGCATCACAGTGGCTCAGCGATAATTTTGAAGGCTTATAACGCTAAAAACCGGATTTCAACCCCCGTGATTGGCACAGCACTAATAGCCCATTGTGTTGCTTTGTGCGTAACTACAAACAAAATCAAAACAGTTATATCTATATTAGCACATTAATAAAATATTCAGCTTAAAACGTAGATGTAAAAATCTAATAAATGTCTACAGTTTTGTAGAATTATTAAGATACTTGAATAAAAATAACTGAATACGTGATCCACAATCATCTTTACTGTATTGTGCATCGAATTGCGTTCATTCCAAAACGAGTAGACACTAAAAAACAAACGAGCAACAAGGCTTTTATAAAGCTAGAAAATTATTCAGTAAACGTAAGTTGCACATTTATTTTTAGTATCTTATTGTCCTATAGAAAATCATGGTTTACATTTTAAGTGCTTTCAAAAATGCTGGAATTTTAGTTTGTTTGTTTATGTACAAGCACAAAACTTATACCCACCACGCGTATAGAAACCCAGATTTTGTGTATAAGCCCCTGAGCTTCTCGCTGGGCTCTTGGATCGCTGCTGGAATATAATAAAATTGTAACTATCGATTTCAAACTATTGCCTAAAATCAACCTAAATATTTTATAAAATGAAATTATTGAGGGGGTAATTGTTACTCAGATTTGTTGCCCAGCATTGGAATATAGTATTAGGCCAGACTGTTTTAGAATTCAGAAAAAAACAACAAGAGGAACCTAATAATATCGGTATAAAATAGAAAATATACTAGGTTTTATGCATAATTGTTAAAGCGACGCATTGATATAAGTTATATATATAATATTTTTACTGCGTTGTATTTACTTAACTAATGTCTCTTAATATCAGAACGCCAATGATGGATCTTCTAGTGAAGGTGACAACACCCAATAAGATCAAACCAGGAGGTCATATAATTCAAGTGTATGACGACAGAGGTCGAGACCTACCTTACAAACCTAGCACTCCCATTGGTTCCATGGATGCATGTACAGTTCACATTGTACCCAAAAAGCTACGGACTGAAAATGAGAAGCTAAAATTTGAGGCAAGAAAAAAAAACCTTTTATAAAATATCAATATTAAGATCTTTAATAAAAGTGCCTGATTTATCATCATATTTAATATTTCGTTTCATTTTCAGCATTAAATACCTTACTGTAAGATATATCATTTTTCTATAAACGAATAATTGTTTTTTGTATATATATATATTTATATATACACACACACACACATATATATTTATCTCTCATATTTTTATGTTTCAAACAAATATTAGGTAATGTTTTTGAAGTATTTCAACAATACTGTATAATAAAAATATAATTATTTTAGTTATTGCTCTAAGATACCTTACTCTATCATCAAACACTAATTCATAACAGTTCCTTACCAAAAAGATAATAAAATTTGATTATTACATAGTTTTTACATTAATCATAACTTATGTTTGTTGTCGAAATGATTTACAGACTCGGTTACATTACTGATACTCATTGTTACTTATTGAAGTTGTTCGTTTTTCGTACAGAAAGTTCACAGATGATCCTTTCTTGCTTACAGTCAACGAACTTACTGTGTCCTCTTTTTTACTCTTAATCAATGTTATTGTTTGTGTATAGACAACCTTTATAGTCACACATGACTCTTTATTATTAATTATAGTTTGTTAAAGGGAACATTCATAGAAATATGGTTTTTAATTTCACACACACACAGTCACTAAATTTTGTTGGCCTTTAAAAAACTTCCAAAACCTCTTCATAAATTTTGAGAATGATATTCACTCACGAAATACTTCGCAAATAAATTTTCTTGCTTCTTCATTGCTACAACTTATTTTTTTTTCTGTTCAGTAGACCGTATCAAAAATATTATCGTGATTTATTTCAAGATGATAATTTTTTAACTAATTTTTGTTCCTGGTTATTAAACAGCAAACATTACGGCTGCAGGTTAGGCTGCCCTACAACCAAAGATCAGCATATCGGTTCAGCCCAAATAAAACACTGGGTGAGATCAAACAGGTAGTTTGTAAAGATAAAAACCTAGACCCAAAAGTACATCTCCTGGTTCATCCACAGAATCAAGACAAAGTCCTAGATGTGAAGATGACTTTTGGCGATTACAACCGTAAAGAAATTTCACTGCTATTGATAAAATGTATGCACTTTATTTTAATCAATAAGGATGTGTTATCTAGTTAGTATAGTGATTTCAAATGCAATATTTGTATAGCATTGTAAATTCTATTTCTCTGAAATTATATTACGACTATTTCATAAAAAAAATGTATCATACACTGTGAACATACACTGACCTTAGAAAACTGAGTTTAAAAAATTAAACCTGTTATTTTTGGACTTATGATTAGGGTTAATGAAATTATGTTATTTACTTGAATTTAAAAGTATTCCAGCTACGAACTACAAGTTAAGTGATAACTTGCTAGTCACCACTTCATAGTATAACGAGGTATCTGTATTCAGATTAGGTATACATAATAACTTCTAATCCTTCACTTGTTTCTTTGCAGATTAGGTATATATAATAACTTCTAATCCTTCACGTTTTTCTTTTTCATTTTGAATAAAATGTTTTTTACTAATGTAACCTTTTAAGGGGAACACTCCATAAAATATTGCTAATGTAATTTTATCTTTCATCCTGTAAAGCTAGAGTTATAATACTTAAATTATAAAGAATAATAAGCTATGAACAATTTTCGAAAAAGGCGACATTTGCCGACGAAACTTCTCGTTTCTTTAACACGCTATTACTATTATTATAATATATCCATTCTTTTTGACATAAATCATATTAGCTGATAACACAAGATGTACTTCTAACGTTCCCTTACACTCACGGTACTCCATTACTTCATTTAAATGGTATTTTTAATCAGTGAAGATCTTATATTAACGGACATGCACATCAAAATTAATTTAACAGTTAGTAAGCTCAACTAGACTAGGAATATGGCGTTGTTTCAGATATAAATATTATTGTAATAAAAATACAGTCTCTTTATTTATTATCCACCGACAGCCTTCATTTTGTGTAACACGTGCGTTAAATTTATACGTTGTATATAACGCATACATTCCAACTATTTCAACGTATGCTGTTTAAACAAAAATTCGTGATCCACAAACTGTGTTAAAACAAAAGTATAATAGATACGACCTTGTAAGATTTACGTAACTTTTAATAATTTTGAGGAACAGATGTCACCAAGTGATTAGCTTTCCATGCTAGGGGTCAGAAAAATACAAGGTTCGAGACGTCATATACCATTGAACACCTCACATCTTCAACTGTAGGAATACTGTAACCCTGATAAGCAATCCTGCTATTCGGTTAAGACTAGTATGATAAGTAATTCCACTATTGATTAAGACTAGTCGTGTCTGCAGCGGGTGGTCTTGACAGGTCTCTTTCCTTCTGGTGAACAGTTCTATATTAGAGATAGCTAGGTCGTGAAATTAGGGACCTCTGACCTGACTGTTTAGTTCGTGTATCTAATAAGGTGCTTTTTCTAACATTTTTGTGTTGGAAACGAACTTTGGATATTTCCAGTGACAGGTTAATGCGGTTTTGAATTATTAAATGAATTCAGTATAACAAATGTGGTTTTTCCTAAGATCTATCTTCTAGCTTGTATTTACACGTTTCATTTTGTTTGTTCGTTTATTGTTAAGCATGAACCTACACAATGTTATCTATACTCTTCTCATTGAAGTATAGAACCCCGATTTTTAGCGTTATAAGCCCTCAAATTTACCGCTGAGCCACCTACACATTAGAAAAAAAAATTTACACTGAGCCTACTTCTTCTACTGTGTCGTGATACTTTTAGAAATCGCTAATTCCTTTAATAAATCATTTAATTGTCAGCATAGCATAAATAAAGATAAAAGTTTCATACTTTTTCTGTTATTAATAAAACGTCAATGGAAAATTTAACCAGCATTAGCGTATAGCACTATTTTACGTCGGTCTGTATACGATATAGGCGACTCACGTGCAATAAATTTCATGTCAACAGATTTAGTGACTAGTATTTGTATTTTTTGTTGCTATATTATTAGTAATATAGGAAGAACAAACTTATTGGAGGCAGACAAGTTCTATCATGTTAATTAATTTGTAAAAGTTGGATTTTAAATATATAAACTTATATATCAAGTGTTATTTCTCAGGTATCGATCCCAAATCTTCGCACGTGGAAACTATCCCTTACCAATCGCATGAACTACAAGAAAAGAAAAAACGGGGAGTAGTGGTAATTTTATATTGTCTATTATCTTGTATGTTTTCGTTCTTTATCCAGCATTATTTGTACATTCTTCAGGTAACTATATTTCTGTTTATGAATGAACATTTTAGTCTAGACAACATCTATATCAAGCAGAAAATAGTCTCTTTGGAACCGACCAATCATTTTTTTTAATCGTCACGTATCTCGTCTCTGTTGTTCCTTTCAATCATACTTCGTGTCTTTTAAATCTCCACTGACGTTATTATTCCCTGGAGTTTACGAGTGACCGACTGTAATTTGCTCGTTGTCTAGTAGTATTTACCTGACTCTCGCAGATTTCAGATTCCAAATAATCAAAAGTAAGAACTTTGAATGATTTCTGAGCTTTTTTTTATTTCTGGCTTTATTTCAAATTATACTGATTATATGCTAATTTACACTTGTGTTAAAACTCAACTAAAACCGCTGTACAAATCACATATTTCCTTTTATGACTTCAATCCTAACAAACAAACTTCTTTATGTTTTTCAGAGCTCCGAAAGAGGGGATGATCAAGACGGTATGGATCTTGCTGGCCACGGAGTCAAGTCTCATGTGAAGGCCAGGAGCAAAAAACAGCTTGCACCACTACCTCCTTCACTAAAAGAAACTAAAAATGAAGTACTTTCTTCTCGTAAACCGTTCTCAAAAATAGATCGACATGACAAGGGAAGTGTCTCTTACTCTTACCGTAGCTCCAGCTCCAGTGGGTATCACGAATCCTCAGTTTTCAGTCAGTCCTTAGTTGGTAACACGTGTAGCAAGGTTGCACATTCTTCGACAGAAAATATTTCTTTTAAAAATCGAAACTTCACGTCAAAAAACAAACTGTGCATAGATAGGTTTTCCTTAACAAAGGCTAACTCTTCCACACTCTCAGGACGTAAGAAACGAGCCCCTTTGCCTCCTTCCAAACAAACGATAGAGAAAAGAGCTATAGAACACGCAGAAGAAGAAAAAAGGGATGATCCTAACAAGCCTTCTCTCGTGAAAGTTCTTGAAAGTCACACCACAGAAAAGGAAGGATCTGCGGAACACGTTAACGCCACAGAAACTGATGTATCAACGACTTCGCAGGTTAACGGATCATCCGAAACTTCAGAGTATTATGTCGAGAATATAAATGCTTCCTTTGCTGGTGATAAAGAACAGTGTTTCTCTTCTAACTCTCTAATCCCCTGTAGTGATACAGACGGGAAAGAAGAGACCATGAGATCTTCCACACCAGCTATTGAAGACGAAAACCTTTATCCTTCCGAGCTTTATTCTGAGTTAGATAATGACAAAAACAGTCGATCTCGAAAGAACTCTGGTCAATATTCTGTGATACATAGTGATGCAGATGAACTAAATCTAGACCCTTTTCGTGAACGATTAGAACAAATGCTTCAAAAACACATCGATATCTATTTATGAAAATCTTTCCACGAGCACTTCTTTTTCCTGCTTTTCCAGAACCTTTCCGATTTAATCTCTGTTTGTTTATTTATTATGTTGTCTCTTAATCTTTCGTTCTATCTGTAGAGGGCAAGTTAAGTCAACATCAGCTGGGTTTTTAGTGTGTATTTTATTACTAAGTCAACATCAGCTGGGTTTTAGTGTGTATTTTACTACTAAGTTTCAATAAAAAAGTTGGAGAGATATTTTATACTGTTGTTGAATTTATCGTAGCATTTGAATTAATTTGCGTTCTATAACTGTTTAAATGAGGTATACATCCATATGGGACTTGGCGAATCCGATTGTTCATCATTATTTTCAAACTAATATCCTGCGTGTGAAATATAAGAATACATTTTAAACAACAGGTTATTGTTAATTATAAAACTTAATTATTTTTTTATAATACTTCGTGACGTCAAAGACGATCAGTCTCTCATATTGACGGGGCCCGTCATGACCAGATGGTTCGGGCGCTCGACTCGCAATCTGAGGGTCGCGGGTTCGAATCCCCGTCCCACCAAACATGCTCGCCCTTTCAGCCGTGGGGGCGTTATAATGTGCGATCAATCCCACTATTTGTTGGAAAAAGAGTAGCCCAAGAGTTGGCGGTGGGTGGTGATGACCAGCTGCCTTCCCTCTAGTCTTACACTGCTAAATTAGGGACGGCTAGCGCAGATAGCCCTCGTGTAGCTTTGCGCGAAATTCAAAGACAAACATTCATATTGACGGCAGTAAAACAAAACTATATATATACAACTATAAAGTTCAGTGTTGCACATTATTGGTACTCTATACCTCTATAACAAACCAAAAAGAATTGCCAGAAGAAAAAAAAGCGTCACTGTTATTATTTTAAGCAGACACACAGATTAAAATGTTTTGTATTTACACCCCGAACTTGTACATACAATAAGAGGGTCGAACGAGGTTAATTAGTGTGGGTATCCAACTGCGAATCGGAGATTCCATGTTTTGCGCTTTCCTCACTTTATAAGTTAGCGGTGGGTGGTATTAAATAGCTCCCTTCCTTCTAGTCATTCAGTTCAAAATTAGAGACGCCTAGCACAGATAGCCCTCGTGTAACTTTGTGTGTAATTCAATAACCCAAAGCGTACATTACCCCATCTGTCTCCTCCCAGTGGCTTATGCTGCTATAAACCGAGTTTCGATACTCGTAACAGGCAGAGCACAGAATGCACTTTGTGTAGCTTTGTGCTAATTATCAAACAAAACCGCATCTGAATTTACTAGCTTAAACTAAGGGCTGTCAATGGAAATTAACTTAGTTTCGGTTTGATAGGAAATCTAGTTTGATTTTTATTAACTCATAAATGTCGATATCTCCAAGAAATTGACTATAACTATTTGTATAACATCATAACTCTCTGCTTATATCTTATAGTGTCATCATCACAACTTTAAATTTGTATCTTACAGTGTCATCATCATAGCTTTAAATTCGTATATTACAGTGTCATCATTATAGCTTTAAATTCGTATCTTACAGTGTCATCATCATAGCTTTAAATTCGTATCTTAGAATATAACTATCACAGCTAATAACCTTTATCTTACATTATCAATATCACAGCTTTAAATTCGTATCTTACAGTGTCATCATCATAGCTTTAAATTCGTATCTTACAGTGTCATAATCATAGCTTTAAATTCGTATCTTACAGTGTCATCATCATAGCTTTAAATTCGTATATTACAGTGTCATCATCATAGCTTTAAATTCGTATATTACAGTGTCATCATCATAGCTTTAAATTCGTATCTTAGAATATAATTATCACAGCTAATAACCTTTATCTTACATTATCAATATCACAGCTTTAAATTCGTTATCTTACAAAATAACGATCACAGCATTCAATTTGTATCTTATACTATCACCACCATAACTTTCAACTTGTATCTCACAGTATCATATCACCCTTTTTATTCGTATCTTTCATTATCATCATCACAGCATTCGGATTTTATCTTACAATCTCCTATTACGTCTTCCAACTTATATTTTACAGTTTCTTATTACATTTTTCACTCTGCATTTTACAGCCTCATTATTGTGGCTTTAGGCAATAGAACGTATGGAAGTAAGAGACTACTAATGCGAAATTTGAGAATATAATCTTTGATTCTGGGCTCACATATAGAGACATTTGTGTCGCTGACGATTTATAAACTCTTCACTCAAAATTGATAAATCATGAACTCACTCTGATTGAGCTCAATTATTTAAATCTTCCAGAAACTTTTGCTGGTCTGAAGGTACTTTTGTTTTGCTTAACGAGACGAACGGTGTAATAAAGGGATAATAACAACATCTAGAACTCTCAACTGCTCAATTTTCCATCAAGCTTCGCGTGAAACCTCCATTGCCTAGAATATAGTATATTTTTCTTCTCGAAAAGATCGCTTCGTGTATCTCTTCCTCTATAAAGGCCACACAGTGGTTCAGTGGACAGTTAGTGGGCATATAATGCTAAGTTTTGATACCCGTGGTGGGCATAGCACACATTGTGTAGTTTTGTGCTTAACAAGAACAACGAAAAAAATCTTCTTTACAATACTATATAGCATATCAGAAGTACCATCTTCTATTGATAGTGGTATAGAGCATATCAGAAGTATCATCTTCTACTGATAGTGGTATAGAGCATATCAGAAGTATCATCTTCTACTGATAGTGGTATAGAGAATATCAGAAGTACCACCTTCTACTGATAGTGGTATAGAGCATATAAGAAGTATCATCTTCTACTGATAGTGGTATAGAGCATATCAGAAGTGCCATCTCCTACTGATAGTGGTATAGAGCATATCAGAAGTACAATATTTTACTGATAGTTGTGCTTTTCCCTACTAACCATTCTTCACTCTAAACTTTAAATCGTTCTTGATATTATTAGGTGCTTTTATATAGCTAACCTTATGCATTTTATATCAATTTTGAAATCTAAACGTACGTTTCTCTCTCTCTCTTCAGTATTAAAATTTGTCCTCAGTATTGCTGTGTCAGGACTGTCTTTGACAGAGCCGGATGAGATATCCAGTGTAAGATAATACAATGGACAACAAAGAAATTAAAATAACGTTTATATTAATTTTTAAGAGTATTAAATGTTTGATTTCTCACTTGTAAAACGAGTTCGTGTGATCTTATAACACAGCTGGCCATGAACATGTATTTTCGTTCTATGGTTTATAGTTTTCATAATTTACTCTATTCAATTTCTCTAATGGAGCTCGGATTATTAGGTTTTCTTGTTCCTTTGAAAACAAGCCTCAATTGCAATCGATATAAGTACCGCTTGAAGTTTATACCATCCTTATACGTATTTACTTAATCTGTATGTTACAAACCATGTAAATAAACGATACAGATAATACCTCAAGTAAGGTTTTTTATATGGTAATGACATCAAGTAAGGTTTTTTATATGGTAATGACATCAAGTAAGGTTTTTTATATGGTAATGACATCAAGTAAGGTTTTTTATATGGTAATGACATCAAGTAAGGTTTTTTATATGATAATAACATCAAGTAAGGTTATATGGTAATGACATTAAGTAAGTTTTTTATATGGTAATGACATGATATGGTGAGTTTTGAATGAGCCTGAGATGATCAGTTTCAGGCTTCTACAGACAAAGTTCTTTTCGCTAGTGTCTTGTAGGTTATTCAGTATAGAATTTTATTTAATATTTGAAATACTATTGCATTGTTTCTTTAGAGAGGAGCTATTACCATTAGATCGCACATCATGACAGATTGCACATGTTTCATTATCTTCGGCATGATACATAATCTAACTTAACATCACATATTTTGATGATAATAATAGTGTCTCAACTAAGTTACCCAACTGGTATTGAAGGAGTGGCCTATTTTGCAACAGCTTACAACAGGTAAAGTGTAACTAAATTGTTATTACTAAATTACTGCAATATCGAATGTCTCTACTAGGCCACTTCCAAGCGAAATCCGAAAATTAAGTTAAATCCTTGCCTCGCCTTTTTAACAAAGCACATAGGGCCGGTGCTTTCGAACTCAGGTTTCAAGTGGCACAAGTGGACGAGAATGGTAGTCCATTTCCCTCTAGATGGGTGCCAGTCCATAGCAGATTAATCCCAGCTAACAGTAGACTGGAACAAGTTGGGTAAAGTGTCTTGCTCAATGACGTGGGCCAACCTCGAATTCCCAACCATCCGACTATGAGCCGAAATTGCAAAGCCACTGAGCCACGCTGTCCTCTAAGGATCAGTTTTAAAAAAATATTTTACGCTTCAACTTAAAATAGTATTTAAATGGGGTACCCCCCCCCACATTCGTATATAAATTACAGTATCATTTATATAATCGAAATGACTTTTATACTGGCTAATCTTTTTAGTAGAACCTCTGTACCCTTTCAGACTTTGGAATGACCTGAGCTGCAGGTCGATTACATAATGTGTTAGGTGATTCATGCAATGCCTAAAAGACTGGGATAAGCAGATATGTGGAAATGCTAAGATATTAGAGCATTTAAAAGAGGCTTGATTGTGGGTGCACCTCTACCAAGTGCCACATTGGCCAAGATGGTTTCGTGGGTAGACTCCCCAAAGTTATTGGCTATTCTGGGTGCACCTCTACCAAGTGCCACATTGGCCAAGATGGTTCCGTGGGTAGACTCCCCAAAGTTATTGGCTATTCTGGGTGCACGTCTACCAAGTTGGCATTGGTCAAGATAGTTCCATGGGTAGATTCCTCAAATATATTGGCTATTCGAGCGTATTAACAATAGAGAAAGGTGACTGCAATGTCTGTTGTGAGGGTTAACTGTGTGAGCTTTCCTTTTTGTCACAGAAAGAGGAGAAAGGTGGTTAGACAGAATGGTAAATTTCAACCATCATCAAACAACAGACCAACTAAGAAAGACAATGAATGTAGGGCCATTTATAACAATCTCCAGTAATATCTTGCGAATAACGACGCAACTAATGTACTTTGGCAGCAGGAAGCCATTGTGTAAATCAGTGATCTCATTGACCAACAAGAAAACAGACCTCAAGCGGTGTAAGGAACACAGACATTGGAGTATGAAGACTAGCGAATAGTGACGTGGTCCCA